GTGTAAACTCTGTGTGGCCTCTACCTGGCCCTGACCCCTGCTCTGCTAGCCTGTCCTAACAAAGCCCTATGGTAGGCTGTCCCTGCCCTGGTGTGTGTGTGAGCTCGCATGCGCACGCAGGTCAACATTTGAGTGTTGTCCTCTCTTCCTCTCTGTCTTATCTTACTGAGATGGTCTCTCACCGAACCTGGAGCTCACTAAATAAGCCAGGCTGGCTGGACAGCAAGCAGCAGCGTATCTTTATCTCCTTAGTGTTGTGATTATCCACACTCAGCTTTTCTGTGGGTACTGGGACCACAGTCCTTAGCATCTTATCCAGAAAGTTCCTCACTGTTACCCCAGCTCCTCTCATCATTCTTTCCAGATCTCTGTCACCTTCCAGGTCCTGGTTAGTAGGCTAGATGTCCTCGAGTGGCATTACTGAACCCGGGCTGCACAGTTATCATGGGTTGGATTGTGCTATAGCCACAAGGAGCCTGGACCTCAGTGGCTGACTATAGATGAGGTTGAATTCTTGATTATTTTACTAGTCCCACGTGGGAGGAGCCAAGAGCTGTGCCATCCTGATGACACAAAGACGGGATGAGGGAGGTCTCATTTCCCTCCATTCTTGCCTCTGAACATCTCAATGCTGTTTCCCCAATCACTCCTCAAGTGACAATGTGACACTGACAGTGGCAGTGTAATAATATCAACAGTGCCACTGAGAGGGCATCCACTGCTCACGGAGCCTGCTGCGGTGTCTCTTGACCCTGGCCAGTGCCAGCTACTGGAGACAAAGTATATTTAAAAAATGATACATTTGAGTTTCATTGGTGATTGAACACATGTTAGAACGACTAAGGACTAACTTACGCCTATGCGAAGTAGAGCTTCTAGACCCAGACTGACTGAGCTGGTGGCATGCTCCTGCTTTAAGGGGGACGAGACTACCTCTCCACTGCACCAACACCCAGGTGCACAGAGAGGCTGGGCTTCATGGAAGCACCGAAGAACAGATACCAATATATTTACAAACGTGAACCCAGAGACACAGAGAAGTCAAGAAGCCTGAGCCTTCTCTTCCATACTGCCTCCTGATGTTGCAGTGTGTGTCTCCTGACCCAGCTGTTTCTGTGTCCTAGCTGGGGAAGGAGCTTGCCTTGGAGAGACGACCTTTCCCTGTGTCCTATACCAGGAGCCACAATGTGACCTCCTAAGTAGCTTGTATAGGAGTTGCTGGCCTGGAGTTGTTTATTGCATTCCTGGTCAACCTGTCCAGGCTGCAATAACCATGCTCTGCCTGCAGGGTGCACTGGAGTGCTGCTGCTGGTTGGTGGCCATTCCTCATTTCTCAGGCCGCTCAAAGGAGTGTGAGCAGCATGCCGACCCCATGACAAGTTCTGTACTGATACCCATGGCCACGGGCCAGCACTCCTCTAGGGTGACCTGAGCCTCGGTCTTCTGATCTCAGGATGGAACACATGTCTGTGCTTATTGCTGAGCAAATGTCAGTCACTGGTTTTGAAGATTGTTAGTGAAGTTAACGGGTTTGGCCTGAACTCCTACAAGAGGCTCTGGGAAAGCAGAGCAGACCAAAATGGCATCACTTACCATAACTGCAAATGATCAGGGTAAAAACTGAAGGAAGGGGAACGATTCCAGGGCCCACCAGTTTCTCCTGAAAACGGGAAATTCCAGTTCACCTGAGTCCTCATAGTGACGCATCCCCCTTCGAGCCAGCTAGGACCCTGCCCACCCTGCAAGTATCCCGCAGTAGCCCAGCATGTGGTGCAGGGGTAAGGCCTTTCCTGTGTCATCCCACACTGAGCCTTATTTTTGTATTTCCTTCTCACCTGTCCCAGCATCTAGGGGTCCATGCCTGTGGAAGAGCAAGCCTGGAGCATCCAGTACCCCCAGAAGCTCTGCTGGTAGCTTCAACTGAGGCAGAGAAGTTGAGGTAGTTGGGTCAGCATGTACTTGGTCATTGTGATGGTATGGGGTGTGTGGACAGTGGGCAGCTTGACCTGGGACTAGGAGACCCGCACTCTGGGCTGCACAGGGCAGTTCAGTTACCCTGTTTCACTGTGGGTCAGAAAACACCTGCCAGGGCAGCTTGCTAGGAGGTAGGAGCCGCACCGTTTCCCTGGAGGTTGGCATTGCAGGCATAAGTCCTGGCCTGGTTCCCAGGGAGGGGTGGACTACATCTGTGTGCAGCCAGAGGTGGACCGAGGGGCAGCGGTTTGGAGGACCTGGTGCCTTCCAGGGAACGGGCTTTGCTTCTCACCAGTTACATGACTTAGGAGGAGGGAAGCAGCTTCTCAGAGCCTCACTTTTCTCCTCTGCAGGTTGGGTGAATGAGAGCACAGCCCATCTGCACCCAGGATTGTGGTGTGGCCATAGGACTACATGAGGGAAAGCTGGGTTGTTTGATTTGCAGGGGCTCAGAAAGGCCAGCCACAGAGCTGACACCCCAACCTGCTCTTGTGGTTTTAGGAAGGCAGCTCCTGAACCCAACCTTTTCCCATTCAAATTCAGGTTATCAGTGATGAGGAACAGGGTTCAGAGAAGTTTGCCAACTTTACTCAGGTCACACAGCAAGTGTTTTCAGAATACATGTCATCAGACGCTTGGAGTTAGGAGCCTTTCCGGCGATTGATAGAGCTTGTGCCATCAGAAGCAACTGAGGAGGTTGTAGTCCCCCAACACCCCTGGTGAATATGTCATATGTTCAGCCAACAGTCAGGACCCAGTAATAGGCTAACCCATGTGAAATTGCAGAGTTGTGACCTTTAGTACTTATGGGAAACTCCATGACTCAGCCTCGTGATTCTCATCCTGATAGTAACCAGCAGGACCCCAAGGGCATCTTAGAGTGGGCAGGGCACCCCCAGGATAAGAGCATCCCAGGGAAGTCAGGCAGCAGGTCCATTCCGTTTCATCCAATGGACTTCTGGCTGTCACAGTTGTTGGGGCCTTCTGGCCTGGTGACCAGGGCAGCTTGCAAGACAGCCTCCTGCCACAGCACTGGAGATGTGACTATCCCCAGAAGGCCATGGGGTAGACAGAGAAGGGAAGAGCTGGGGCATGGACACCATAGAGAATCAGGCAGAAGTGACCATGGAGAAACCCTGGGGTTCATGTCAGGGCCCATGTAATATTCTGGAAATACATTCCACCTGGCCATGAGTTCTGAGAGCTCAGAACTTCTAATGTCTTTTAGATGTCAGCTGATTACCACAGGATGGCCTGGCCTCAGAGGGGCATGGCTCCTATTCTGAGTAACAAAAGACTTGGACCAGGGTGAATCTATGCCCACCCTGAGGGCTAGTGAGATGTGCTGCTGTGGGGTACCTGAGGGCTTGAGTATGTGCTGCAAAGTAGTGTCTCTAGGATTAAGGGAAATATCAGCTACCAGCCCTATATACATGATAATAGATGTCTTCTGCCATTCCCCCACCTTTGGATGGTTACTTAAGATGATGGAACAATAAACCATGGCCTTCAATATTAACTGGGAGCCCTCCTGATATGACCAGATGTCTCTGTCTTGTCTTTAACTCCATTGGGTAGTTAGCCTATCCTGCCTCCACTCAGGGTTCAACCCAGGACTATTTGGCTGGTTCTGATTGCAGCCCCAAAGGCATCAGTCCTGAATAGATGGCCCCTGCAGCATGGGGCTAATCCAGACTGGACACGACAGGTCCATAGAAGTAGGCTCTGTCCCACAGCCTAGGAGGCCCTGTGATGGCCATCTAGAGCCATTCACAGACCATGGTCTTGTGACTAAGGATGAATTTGGGAGCCATGGAGTAAGCAGAATAAGACCTGGTAGGCCTATATATGTGAGTTGGAGACAGGCTGAGACCAGGGATGCCCAAACTGCTTATTGGGGGAGGGTCTGCTTCTAGGAGATGTGTGCGTCCCTGTTCCAAATATCTGAAGAGGGAAGAAACCACAAGGAGTGGGTTGGATCCTGTCCTAGTTCCTTGGAGGAAGAGGGCTGTATTGTGTAGTTATCTTGTTGTGTAGTTATTTGCTTTGAACTGAAATGTTCTTTTCTAGAAGGAGGAGGGAGGATGGAGAAGAGATGGGGAGAAGGGAGGAGAGAGAAGAGGAGAGAAGGGGGAAGGAGAGGAGGGAGAAGAGAGGCTCACACATGACAGAAAGTATAAAACAAGACTCAGGAAGCCTATGAAAGCTATGAGGAGGTTTATAAGCTCCTCCTTGACCAAAAGCCCCTCCCTGACCATAAGGAGGCAGTAAGCAATAGCTGGGGAAAGGAAACTCTTTTGTGGAGTTGACTGCAAGTTGTACAGGGAGCTCCCAAGATGCAGGTATCACGACTTGTCACTCATGCTGTGGGTGGACTTTGCAGTGATAGGCTGCCCTCGGGTACCTATGCTCTGCAAATTACCCCAGTAGACTCATTGCTTCATCAAGCTAGACTTGGGTGCAGTGACATCATTAGTACCCTGTCCAGGGTGAGTAGATGTTTGTTCAGATATTCTGAGGAAGACATATAACAGTCATCACCAACAATCTCTTCCAACCATTCTCAGGAAATTCCAGGTGAGATGGAGGGGCCAGTTGTGGTGAAGTAACATGGTAGAATAATAATAGGAGCATGTGACCCAGCCTTGATGGAACCTAGAGATGCTGAAGCATGAGCCTGGTCCTGAACTGGCAGTTCTTGGAGTCTGACAGGGTCACCATGGGGTGTGGCCTCTCCGGCAGTGGGAGGGACTCCAGCCAGGGGCATAGGACAGAGGTTGAGAAGTCAGTAGAGGACATGGGCACTTGGTGGACCCTGGGTCTTTGAGTGTGAACCACATGGTCCCCTCTGGGTTTCCAGAGATGACATGGTTTTGGGAACAAATGGTTCCAGGACCAGAGCCTGTGATCTCAGCCATGGTTCTCTGATTACAACCTATTTGCATGGTTAGAGGGGACACTAAGACACACTGTGACCTCAAGTCCATAACAAACTCAAGACATAAGGAGACACATACACCACAGAGTTGAGCATTTGCAGAAGCACTCAGGCATGGGTGGGCCAGGACAGCCTGTGTTTAATGTCACTGGGGAGGGGACCCAATCCAGAAAAGATGACATCTGACTGAGAATTGTGATTAACGTGTGGGATCCACCACTTTTCCCACAAAGAGGGGGCTCTTTGTCTGTCTATCATATATTATGGCAATGAAAGGGCTGTTAAAGTTCACCTCAGGGGGCACAGACATGGGGATGATTTCCATAAATGTGGCCCCTGCAGCTTCCGTCCCTCTCTCATCGATGGTCAGCACAGCCTTATGCACAGCCTGTGGAGAGAGAAGTAAAGGCTGGTCAGAGGTGGTGTGACTGTCACTCCTGGCTGGAGCAAGATCTCATGTGGGACTCATCCAGGGAGGATGTCACAAGGGAATGTGTCTCCATCCATGTACCCCTGCTCTTCCCCAAGTCCCCCTTGCATGGTGATTGCCTGAGGCCTCTCCTTGTCTCTCTGTCTTTGACTGCCTTGGTCCCACTCTCCTCCATTCTCCCTTCCTGATTCCATCTCTTATGGCCTTGGGTGTAGCCCATGGCTTCTCAAGGGCAGGATCTTCATGTCCTCTGCACAAGTGTCCCCTTTCCAGTGTGGAGCTGTGAGCATGCTGTCACAGGGGCTCTAAAGACGACCTTCACCGTCCAGATTCTTCAGAATGCCCTGCCCATTCTCAACTGCCTTCCATTTCTCTGGACCTGTTTGGTTGAACTCAAAATTCAAAATTGGCCATTTACTTGTTATTCTAAATGTCAGGGATGGCTCCTCAACACTCTGAGGTCAACAGACCTGAGCCTCTACATGAGTATAAATAAACTGGAGACAAAGACTTGGGGTAGCACCTCAGGGAAGGCCTCATAATTCCATCCACCCTCCCAGCTGACACCTGACCACACCCTGTCTGGGTAAATCCCGGGAGTCCTCAAGAAGAGCTCAGCCCAGACTCTTTCCCTCTTCGAGAGCCTTGTGCTGAGCTACCCCACACACTGTGCTGCTCTGCAGATACACCGCCACACTCACATAACCTCACCTTGCCAAGCTTCAGGGGAACATCCTCTGTGATCCCAGAAAGGTCGGCCCCATTGCTGAAGACCTGGGTGATGCCCAGCGGATCCAGGGCTGTCTTCAAGTTATAGGTTCCAGAGATGGACAGTTTGGGGAAGTGTACATTGGCTGACCTGGTGGTGGGAAAGAGTTAAAGGAATTTCATGGGACCTCTGGGATCTGCTGAGACCCACCCTGTTGTGGAACTATTTCTGGCTGCTTTTCTCACTGAACATGTCACTACCCACAGCAGTATGAGAAAGTCGTTTTGATGTGCTTTTCTTTGGCACAGTCCCTATTTGCCTATGACAATGAGATCAATCAGATAGGTTCCTGGAAGCCCCTAAAGTGAGTGCCACCTCCGCTGAGAAGTCCTCCAGGAAGATTCAGGGTGTTCATATAGAACCATGTCTCACTATGCCCTATGGTGTTCAGTCAATCTCTCTCTCCTCTCAAGTCACAAATACCCCTTGGATCTGATTCTCAGGGGAGCTAGGGCCAGTCCAACAGAGTGATACTTCCCCTACCCTCCCAGGGCTGATGGCTCAGCTCTCCATTTCCACAGAGCAAGAGGAGGTCCCAACAGGGTCTTGATGGCCCTCAGGATCTGTCACCTATTCTGGTTGCAGGCTTGTGTGTCTCTCTGCATTTTTATGAGTGTTGAGCCAAAACAGAGGCCAGGCTGGGCCAGGAAAGTCATCTCTGGCCCCACCTAACCTCATGCCTGCCAGAAGCTCTATGTGGTTCACACGGTTCCTCATCCAAAAGGCAGCAGAGTCTGGGCTCAGAGCAGGTCCTCTGGCCTATGGAGAAGACTGTAGGACTTCTGGGTCCTGGAACCCCACTGAGGAGTGACAGAAGAGAGTGTTCTGCAAACCTGCCCAGACTTCTCTATCGCTGGTCCTTTGCTGTACATGCAGACTCTCCTGCGTTCTCCTATAAACTTCCCACCCGAATCTCTACCATCAGCTCTGGTCAGGGCTTGAGACCAGTCTTGGTTCTTAGTTCAGCTGTAATGTATGCTAGTACTGCTGACATTTCAGCCTGGGCTCTGGGTTAGAAAACACTGTGTCCTCTGGGGATGGAAGTCCCTCCAAAGCAGGGCCTGGTCTCTCTCATCTCTCTCCCTCCCCAGACTCTGCCTAGCACTGTCTGAGCTGAAGGCTTATTTTTAGCCCAAGGTTATGCACTTAAACTGTGGCCCTGGGATAGAGTCCACCCTCCGCCAGCACTTTGTGACTTTGGGGTCAGGATCGGAATGGTCAGGGGAAGGTCTCTGTCTGGGGAGTCACCTTGTGTGTCTGTCCTTCAGGAACTTGCCAATGATTTCCTTGTTGAGAGTTTGCTCCAGATGCTGCATCTTGCCATCATCAGGTAGGATGAAGATGGCAGTGGCGTTGCCCAGGTAATCCATCAGCAGCACCCAGCTGGACAGAGTGCTACAATGATGCACGTCAAACATGCCCAGGCGGCTCATCATGGGCACCTTCACCGTGGTGGTCTTGTCCACGTGGAAGTCAGCTTCCTCAGTGTTGTCTGCATCGAAGGGCTTCTTCCACTTGCCTGCAGAGGGGGGAAAGTGGGAAGAGAGCTCTGCCGGGGAAGTGGTGGCCCAGGGCCTTGGCTTTTCACAGGGGACCTCCACTAATCTTCCAGACTACCCAGGGACTTTGGTGAGGTCAGGACTAGAGGACTCACACTTTACAGATCACAGAAGCTCACAGCCACCAATCCCAATATCTAGAAAGTGTTTTAAGTGTTACATGCTTATTGAAAGGTGACCTGGGGTTATAAGTGGAAATCTTGACAGCAATTCTGTTTGCTAGCTTCTTATCAGGATAGCATGCTCATTGGTAACTGTGAATTCAGTTACCACTCAGGACAAACATTTTGGGCACCTTAAGTCCCTTTCCACATCTCAGGATTCAGTGCAGATGGCCATTTGTAGTGTAAGAACACTGCCATCAAGATCATTGGAATGGGTGAAGGTCTCGGGGACCTATCACCAATGCTGTTAAAGTAGGCAAGGCCCTCATGAATCCCCCATCAAGGCCATCAGAAGGAGCATAGCATGAGGAGCCCTAACCGTGCCTTATTATTGGATAGGAAGAGGTGAAGGGGTTGGGGGGGGCTGACATCTGCCCTTGTCACAGAAGAGCCAGGACTTGAGTTATGCTGACCATGGCCTGATATTCTGCTCCATAAGACTCTGCCTAGAGGCAAAGGAGCCATGAAGGGCAGGGAAGCTCCTATCTTTGACTCCCAGACCCTCCTCAGATGGTTTCTATGGGGTACAGGTGCTTAGGATAGAATCCTGTCCTAACCACTTCAGGCAAGAGGCCGAGGCTAGGGTCAAGGAGAGTTGATCAGTGCTTACATCCAAACAGTGCCTGTGTACACTGTATTCACTAACTCTTCCATCACCTCACAGCAGTCAGCTAGCCTTGACCCTGGTCATATGGACAGCCTTCCCCCAAACACTTAAAATGGCTTGTCCAACATCAAGACTAAAAGGCAGCAGTGGTAAAATGTAAGGTCATGCTTCCAGAGTTCATACTGGTGTGCACCAAAAGAGCTACTCAAAATAAGAGCTACTCATGGAGGAGTGCTCTCTTCACACCACCAGATATACTTGGTTCTGAGGTTGGGGAAGAATCACATATTCTGAGACTCCTTTGTAGGGGGTCTTCAGTGAGCACGAGGACAATAAAGCCACTGATCAGTCCTTCAAAGAGGTCAGTTTTTTTTTTTTTGGTTTTTACGACAGGGTTTCTCTGTATTGTTTTGGAGGCTGTTGGTCCAGCCTGGTCTCGAACTCACAGATATCCGCCTGCCTCTGCCTCCTGAGTGCTGTGAACCCCGCCTGGCGAGGTCAGTGGTTTTGATTGTTGACAATTCCCTAACTTATTGATGATTTAAAATATGACAGAGTTTACCACTGGAGAGTAAGGAAAGTGATGGGACAGAGTGGCACAGCCCAGAGTGAAAGCTTAGGAGCCATGTATCTCCTTGGGAACCAGCTTGACCTGGTTATGTAGTCTTACCTTTAAAGAAAATGTAATTCACCAGGGCAAGAACTGTGTCTTTGTCAAGGTCCTTCACTAAATCAACTATCTTTCCTTGGGTTCCCTTCTCCACAAAACCGTTGATCACTTTCTTGGCCTCTTCTGAGTCTGTGAAGTTGACAGAGAAGGCTTCCGAGTGGTAACTGTTCTTGACCTCTTCCAGGAACTTATCCACCAGCTTTAGATTGTTGTGGATGAACAGGCCATTGCCTGTGGTCAGCTGAAGCTCATTGTCTGGCCTGTTGAAGGTCTGGAGGAGGTTATGGAAGCCTTTGTGGACCTCAGCCTCGGCTATTTCTGTGAGGTTGAACCCCAGGCCCTCTAGAATCTGGGTGTGAGTGACACCCTTGGTGCCCAGAGAGAGCATAGCAAAGGCTGTGGCAATGCTCACAGGAGAGAAGAAGATGTTGGTCGTATTGGACTGATGGACCAGCTCCCGGTATAGGTTGAAGGAAAAGTCTGCCAAATTTGGAGCGATCTTACAGCAGGCTTGGTGCTCCTGATCCTGCTTGGAGGCATCTGTCTCCTGGGCATCCTCAGCCAGGAAGCTGGGGACCAGGCAGCACAGGCCTGCCAGCAGCAGGATCCCCCATGAGATGGAGGGCTTCATTTTTCTGCAAGACACAGAGATTCATGCTGCAAGGGAGTCAAGGCTGCGGTGACTCCCATCAGCTGACACTTGGCACAATGCGAAAGTAACCACGGCCTGTTAAGGGCTGCTGCGTGCCCAGCCTACATCAAGCACTGTTTCAAACTGCTATAATTGAAGAGAAACTGCTAAAATGAAAACCAAGCACTTGTTATGCAAGTGTGCGAATAGGAGTTTGGATGTCCAGAAGCCACAGAAAATGTGGGTATAGTAGCCACCTGCAATCCAAGCATGGAGATGGGAGGTAGGGTCCGGCAGAGATGGGATCCTTGAGGCAAGCTGGCTGGCTTGTTAGCCAGAATCTCTGAGCTTTTGGATTATTGAGAGCTCAATAAAGTGGAGAGTGGTTGAGGAAATACCCGCCCAACATCAATGTGAGTCCCCCATATGCACACGCACAGGCTTCCACACGCATGCTCACACCTCACAGGCATGTGTGAGAACCAAGCTAGGGAGCAAGAGCAGGTGACTGGACATTCTCTATGTGCCCAGTGCTGTCCTGAGCCCTCCCGTGTGTGAACTCCCAGGGTCCTGTGGGGGAGACGATCACTCCCCTGCTAAGGGAGATGTTAAGATACACATTCAAAGTCGACAAGCAACAAATAACACAGCAGATCTAAGTCACACACAAGGAGTGGTCTGGTTCCTGACCAGTGCTCTCATCAGTTCAAGTTCCCCCTGCAATGACGTTGAACCACAAGTCCTAGCCTCATTTTACGAGGAAGAAACCAAGGCACGGGGTGAGAAATGGACTTGTCAGTAATTACAAGGGGGGCGAGATTTGGACTAACAGTCACTTGAAACTGGAAAAATCTATGGAAGATCTCCAGAATCTGGACACAGCTGTCACCTCTGTTCCCCAGAGAGACCATGTTGATGGTGTGGTGATTGTGACAGAAGAGTCGAACGCCGGTGGCCAGGAACCTGCGCACACGGGGAGGTCTAAGGCTCTGAAGAAACCCAGATGGCTCAGCAGGTAAGAGCCCTTGGTGCTCTAGCAGAGGACCTGGGTTCAATTCCCAGGGCCTACATGGCAGATTACAACTGTAACCAGCTTCAGGGTGTCTGGTGCCTTCTTCTGGCCTCCTCAGGCACTAGGCACACATACAGTGTACTTACATACATTCAGGCAGAACACTTATACACATAAGATAAAAAAACAAATCTATGGAGGAGGAGGAACACACAGGCTGTTCTTACTCCGTCCCTACAAGGAACCTCACAGTTCCTGGCGGTGTTCCCCGAAAGAGGGACTGTCACCACTCTGCTCTGTGACTCCAGCCCCAGGCTGTGTAGGCTTCCCGTCTGTCACCTTGCTACCACTCTTGCCTCCCTTCAGGAGGAGCAGAAGTTACCGCTTCGGCTTTAAGGAGAGGGTATCCTGTGGTGGGCTGAAATACCCACCCCTGACAGCCTGAGCTCTAACCCAGGCTCTGTTGCTCACCAGCTGTGTGAGCCAGGACAAGTCAGTGAATCTTTTTGATCCTTGTTTTGCCTTGTACAAAGTGGGGGCTGGGGCCATGGAAGAGCTCTCAAAGGGCAGTCGTGGGGACAGGAGGGTGGCAGGTATTGCAAACTCAAAACAGGTAGGGGGAGGGGGGATGTGTTGCAGAGCTGAAGTGAGGTAAGAGGGAGGGGCAAGGCCTGGGTTGCACCAGAGAGGGCAGACTCTGCCTAGAGATGGTCAAAGTCGAGGTCACAGCCTCCCCTGTTCCACGGAATTCCCGCTATGCCACACACCTCTAGTCTATAACCCCATGGTGTCTTTACAGTTGGGGAAGCAGAGGTTGCAGCTACAAAGAATGGTTGCTATTGCTTCAATAATGAAAACACCTTTTTAAAAAGTGTTTTGAGATAATCTCACGTGTCCCAGGCTAGCCTTAAACCGACTATGTAGCTGAGGATGACCCTGAACACCTCATCCTCCCTCTTCTACCTCTTGCGTGCCGGGATGACAGGTGTGCACTACCATGACGTCTTTATGTAGCTCTGGGCTTCATGTGTGCTAGGTGAACATTCTACAATCCCTAGACACATAGTTAAAATTATCAGTCTTAATATGATAAAAGACATCTTCAAATCTGCAAACCAGGGTAAAGTTGAAGACAGGAATCACTGAGTTTTGCCTGCCCTCGGCCTGTGAAAGGGATCTTTGCAACTGTCTGACAAAATGAAGCATGGCATCTCTCTGCCCACCATGGTGTCTTCTGCTCTTTAGTGTAAATAGGCTGGAGAGCTGACCACACATTGTGTCGTACATGTCAAAGTTTTCTTAAGTCAGTGTGTTAAGACTGAGCCAGAGCTGAATCTAGTTCTGTATATTTCCATCTCTCAGGTCTCCGTTACCTCCTGTTTGGATTGTGGTGAACGCCGTGGAAATTTCCCACCTTCATTAAGAGGCTGACCCTTCACAGGGTGGGGACAAAACACACCAAGTGACCTCAGGCCAGAGGCTGTGGCTTCAAGTCCTGGCACGGCCATCACTGTTCACTGGGCATTCAACAGTGTTTGGAAGAGCACAAACCAGACAACCTCAGGTGTTTGGAGTGGGTCTGGGGAAAGCTAAGAGGATTGTACCACAGAAAGAAACAGACCCAGAGTCTGATATTAGGGTTCAAGCTTCAGGCTGAAGATCAGAAAAGCAAAGTAGTCAGTCACTAGCTCTTACCTCAGACCAAAGGGGCAATCCTCAAACTGCTCCCAATTTCACTACTCCTCAGATTCACTCAGAAAGCTATGTACCCCTCAACATGGCTAAAGACTCCTGAGACTTCAACGTCTTCCTGTCCTTGATGTGGCTGGAGAATCCCGAGACTTCTCAATGTCTTCCTGTCCTCGATGTGGCTGGAGGAGGAACGCTCTGAGACCCTGCTCCTGTCTTATATACCTCCTTAACATAGAGATTAAGGCACATTATCGCACAGAGAACATGTGCTGTGCACAGATGCTGCACTCTGTATGTGTGAGTACATGTTTACGTGTGTGCACATATATGTAGAGGCCAGAGGTCCTCTGGAGGTATGGTTTCTCGGGTGTCATCCAACTTAAGAAACAGTGTCTCACTGAGCTGAAGACTGACAGTTCAGCGAGGCTGGCTGTCTAGCAAGCCAGAGGGCTGCCTGCGTCCATCTCCCCAATGCTGGCGTTGCAAGAGCACATGCCTCACGCCTGGGTTACTAGTGATCAAACTCAGGTCCCCAAGCTTGTGTGGCAAGTATTACACACTCTCAACCGTTTCCTCATCCCAGACATTGGACTCTAGTTCCAAGGGTCTCTGTTTAGTGGGGGGGTGGGAGGGGCTGCTCTCCTATTTGGGGGGGCTGCTGAGCTTTAAAGGGGAAAGGCTAGCACGGGGGGAGGAGAGAGGCCCTGCTAGGGGGTGCACACTCTCTCCCCTCTTACCCATGTGCCATCAGCTCTCTGATCTCCTCCTTGGATGGTGAAGGGGCTGAGGCCTGGGGAAAACCTGCCACACACCAACCCAGCGATGAGCTCCAGGTTTCACACTTGGGAATGTCAAGACCAGGCCAAATGGTTGAGAAGTAACTTAAGTGGGAGGGGCTTATTCTGGTCACAGTTTGAAGGGATATGGTGCTTCATTGTGGGAAGGCATGCTGGTGGCAGCAGCCTCAAGTGACTGCTGGCTCACCTTCCAGAGGGTGAGGAAACAGCAGAGGAAAGCCAGGCTCAGCTCTCGTTCTCCTTCCCACTCCATCTGGGCCCCCCACCCCCAGGATGGACCACCCACATTTTGGGCAGATTATATCATGGTTAACCCTCTTTGAGAAAGGCCTTGGGAACTGAACCTAGGCAATCAAGATGACAATGGATATTAACTGTCACAGGCCTGACTCTGACCTCACGTGTCCAGTCAGGGGTATTTTGCATCTCAGCCCATTCCTTCAAGCCTCAGGGTCCTGAGTCCTGTTTTTGCCTTGACCTGTAAGAGGTGACCTCTTGTGACCCCCCCAGGTCAACTGGAGAGGAAGAAGAAGCTAAAGATCTTGTGGTATAGGATCACAGAAGCCAAAAAGCTGGAGGTCACTCAGGGTGCCATTCTGAAGTCAGAGGCTGGTGGGCGTGGCCTTTGGGAGACGAGAGAAAGGGGATGCCTCCCCCCTTGCTTCATTCTACACTGTTTCCAGCTAGGAGCAGAAGATGAATGATCCAGAGAATCAACTGTGGCAGGCCACAACATGCGGGAGGCCAGCTCTACCACTTAACTGCCAGTGGCCTTAGGCAAATGACCTCATCTCTATAAACCTCAGTTCCTGTTTGCACTGAGGAGAGCAGTGTCCTTTGAAGAAAGGGGCGTGGCAGGACAAAGTCAGACTCTGTGCACACAGGCAGGCAGGCAGGCTCTGGAGTCTCCCAAGGCCCTCCACCTGCACATGGGACCTTGTCCTGAGGTCTGCTTAGCAGCCAGAGGCCCCTGTGACCAGAGAAGGGCTCCTGCTAGGCAGTGCCTCCCCGAGTCAGGTGCATGTCCATCACCTCCACACGCACTGCCTGTTAGTGACCACGCACTGTGAAAATGGGAATATGAACTCCAGTCCTTATGGCTATGCTCACTAAACGTGTCTCATATCTCATCTAACCTTCCTTTAATGCTTAGTATTAGCTCCATTTTTATGACGGGGAAAACTGAGGTCCAAACAGGCTCATCTACATCCTAAAGCCCACAGAACCAGCTGAGAAAAGAGCTAGTGTTTAGCCCCGTGGTTTAGTTCTAGGATTGAGCCCTTCTGTATGTTTAGAATCAAAGCCAGAAGATTTGAAATCATGCCGGACGGAGGCAGCTTAGCTAAGTGACAGAAATCATTGGTGCTCAAATGCCGGGTCTGAGGCTTGACTGTTACTCTGTGTGGACCTCACACCAGTTGCTTAGTCTCTCGGACTGTCAGTTACTGGAGGATGCTAAGGCAAATTGGTTCAGAGAACCCATGTGCAGAGACATGTACAAAGTGCTCAGAAGCACCTCTTATTACCCTGCTCTGGCAGAATCATGGGAATCTGGCCACCTTGACCTGGCCCATCTCAATTTCCAAAACACCATGGTGATAAACCAAACCTCTCCCACCCTCCATAGTCCAAGGCTGGCTGGGGGAAGAGGGATCTCTTCTCTCTGATAGAGCAGAGAGATTAACAGCTATTCACAGCTACTATCCGAGGCCTGGAGGCTAGCTTAGAGGTCTCAGTCAGCAAGGTTAGGAGTATGGAGTTCGGAGCAGCTACTCCAGCTTGAACACTGGGCTGTATATGATCGGGGCAAATTATTACCCTCTCTGTTCCCCATTTCCTTGTCTGTAAAATGGAGATAAGCACAATAGGGGAACTGTGGAGCTGAAATCACACACACACACACACACACACACACACACACACACACACACACACACACACACACGGAGAACTCACAGGCCACTATGCCTGGGACTGCCAGCTACCTACAAGCTGAGGCCGCAGGGTGTGAATCTTGGGTGCAGCTGGAGAGGCAGCCTGAGGGCCACGGCTCCTACTGTCCTAGCCTTACCTTCTTATCCGCTGAAAGGGAGTACAGGACAGGAGCTGGAGCGGCTGGAAAAGGCCACACAGGAAAGGCTGGAAAAGGGCAGGCGCTGCCTGCTTGGAAATGGCTGTGGCTGTACCTTGGCCCCTCCTCGTCTTAGTCTCCAATCACCTGAAGGTACTAGCTAGGTATGGGCAGCTTGGTTCAAGAAGGGACCTTAGGGACTGCTGTTCCCATGGCAACGGGAGACCTAGGTGCCACAGGTGCTATTAACTTTATCTTCCTTGTATTGCCCTGGTCCCAGATCTGCTGCCCGCTTGGGAAATGCAGGGACCCAGGGGCCCCTCCAAGATCTCCCCAGGGAAACATATACTCACAGCTTGCCTGTCCCAGAGCTGAGTGGTGACCAAAGCTGGGGAGACAGAGCCGTGTTCTAGTCTGTATTTAAACAGTGGGTGCAGAGGGGGAGTCTGCTAGTGAATATTAACCAAGGTGAACACTGTTATCGGGGGAGCAAACAGAGAGGGGCTAAGTCCATCGAGTGGGCACTGAGCTACCGCCCAGCTCTCCTGGCCCTAGGCAGGGCACAGCGGGTGTTACATAAATAAGCGATGGTCATGCTTCCATCCTCTGGTCTGCTACCCATTAGTTCCCTTATCTTCCACTTTAGAATTGCCAAATGGCTGTTCCAGGCAGTGCCTGATGAGTTCAGACCTCAAGCCATCAGACAATTCTTTTCACCCCGTCTCATCTCCAAGATGGGGGCTATGACAGCACGAACTATATGCAGTAGTTCAAGGGAAGTTCAGAGCCTGGTGATCAAGGCATCTGGCCGGCTCTTTCTGGTGATGTCACTATCAGTGGGTGTCCTTGGCGTCACTGGATGGGTGGGGGTGAAGGCATAGGGTGGGGTGGCGTGGATTACATATTACCCCATTCAGTAACCCCTGTAGAGCTGAGGAGTGGGGTGGGAGTGCAAGCATCCTTCATAGGAAACGGCTCAGCTCCCCTCCCCCACCCTCTCTCCCTCCCCCACCCCAACACCTGCCTTCCAGGGTCTATTCTATATCCACACAGGGTTAGGAGAATCAGCCTGTGATTGAAGTGTGACTCCACCTACAGCCCCAGGACACGTCTTCCTTCTCTGGGCCTCAATTTCCCCATCTGTACAATGCCCACTCTTGGGACCCAGCTGCCCCTCCCGTCTGTTGCATTGGCTGGATTGCAATGCAATCTCTACTGCTCTCCTCAAACTCTACCCCCTAGAGCAGGCAGTAGCCTGCAGACAGGTGGGAGGTCCCAGCCCTCTACCTGAGAATCCTGGCCAAGCTCCTGGTAGCCACACCTCCTGGTACCTCCGGTGGCTGCTGTTTCCCACTCTTCCCAGAATCAGATCCTTGACTCCCAAGGCTGTGTCAGGAAGCTGATGTCTGTCCAGCTTTGGGTGGCAGCACTAGGTCCAGGAGGGGCGGGAGCTGGGGCAGGAAGGGGCCTCGCCCTGTGCCAGGAGCACATCAGACCAGCCCTTCCTGGCCCAAGCAGTACTGGGTGCCACCTACTGTTCTGGCTGTGTCCACACACTATGACCCAGCATGGGCTCATCCACATTGGCTTGTAAAAGGACTGGTCACCTCTGTCAGAGGAATGGTGGCCCTGGCTTAGAGGATCTCAGCAGAGCTCAGCCCCAGCATCTTGCCAGCAAGAGAGCCATGCCACTCTTTCATGCCCAGCTGAGCCCCTGAGGCTGGAGCAGGGGTGTGTGCACGGGCGTGTCTTCTTGTTTTCTTATCCTAAGTGTGTCAGGAGGGACAGTGGGTGGTCCAGGCCAGCTCAAGTGGAAATGAAGAAGGCTACAAAATGAGAGCCTCTGAGGCAAGTGGGGGCTTGAGGTGGAGAACCTACCCCTTTTAGTTAGGAACACTATGCCCAGTCCCCCTTCTCCTCTGGACCAGTCTGGGAACATGAGCAAAATCCCTGGGGAACACACAGCTGCTCTCCAGGCCACAGTGGGGAAAGTCTGGTCCACTGGCTATTTCTAGAACTGTCTATGGCTACATCTAGGCTAATTGGGAGGAAAAGGGCTCATGAGAAGATTCTAGGGAAACCCTACATGGGGTTCTGCCTAGTTGTGGGGGCCTTGAGTGTGTGCTGACCGTGACTGAGTGTTGAGCTTGGAGTCTGTAGCAGAAAGGGGAGTCGACTAGGCTGAGGGAAAGCTGGACCAATCTCAACAGGGATGTATGGGAGATTGATGGCAGACTTGGAAGTAGCATTCTGGGAGGAGTGTGACCTGCCCCAGGCAAACATACACCTTAATACACACACAGAGGAACTCAACTCACACTCACAAACAGACATACACACGGACAGACCCACACACAGACAGACACACACAGAGGCAGATAAACACACTGACACCCCCCACACACAGACACACATACTTGCACACAGACACACACACATGATCACACACACAGTCATGTGCATAGGCATGAGTGCACATACACACACACACACACACACACACACACACACACACAGGCACACACCCTCCTAGGTACCCACTATGGAGCGGGAGCACTGGTCCTAGCCTTGCTTCCATCACCCTTTTGGTTACGTCTAACCTGGGCAATCCACTTCACCTCCTCATGCCTCAGCTTCCTCATCTATGAAGCAGGGCTAAGAATGTCACTGAGGGTCACACCTGTTGCATGTGACCTCTGGCTAAGGGGGCCACACCCTTTGCCCAGGCCTGGGTTCAATTTCCAGCACCCACATGGGAGCTAACAACTGTCTATAACTCCAATTCCAGGGGATCTGATACCCTCTTCTGGCCGCTGATGGCACCAGACATGCAAGTTATGCACAAACATACATGTAGACAAAATATCCATACACATAAAATAATAATAGTAAGTTCTGGACATTATGACTGTGACACAGTTTTTGAGAGACTAAACCTATCCCGGTTTCTTTTTTTGGTGGTTAATTTGTCATATTTTGCCCAACAGGAACTCTTGAGGTGACGTGTGTAGGGGGATAGTGATTTCTTTTTGACACCAGTTTACATTTTGGCAGTGACACCAGGTCAAGTCCCATGTGTGTTTTCTCCAGACATGGCAAGCCAATGTCTCTGTGGGAAACAAGTAAGCAGTGTGAACCACTTGTGGGGTGTGGCATGCAGGAGTTGTCCTAGAGGGGCCAAGGGACAGTCAGGGGGTGTTTGGGGTTTGTCATGTAGTAACACAAACCTTGTCGGCTCAGACAACATGGTCCTCAATTCTTAGAACTTGCCCAACTCAGACCTTGGCTTGAAACAGTTCGATTGATCTTGTTGACTTTCCCGTGCTGCCCTTGAATGTTTCTGTTTGCTCTATTTTACCAGGTCCCTCCCTGCTGTCATTTTACCTCTAATGGACTCCAAGATGGGTATTGTCTATTAAACAATAAGTGACACTTAGCAGGGACATTTTTGTTTGTTCAGGTCTCTCCCTGCTATCATTTTAGCATACAGATCCTCAAATAGAATCCAACATGGAGGTGTCACTTATTAAGTCATGACTGATGCTTACCAGGCATTGTCTGGCAGGCCTTTTTCTAAAAGGCATCAACTCGCATGGTCCCAGGCAGCAGACACTCTTCCTACCTCTTGAGAAACATAAAATCAGAAATGCAGTTAAAATGCGGCAGAGACCTTTTATTTGGCATGCTGGGTAGCTGAACACATCAGAGGTCACAGGCTGAGTGTGGAAGCCAGGCTGCAGTTCATCTGAGGTCAAGAAGCAAGGAGGTTTTTCTAAGAACAAAGGAGAGTTCTCCAGGGAAGGCAAGAAGACTGGCAAGCTTGGTAGTCAGATGTAAGCCGGGTGGTAGCAGATTTTCCGAGTCCACTTGGGGTATAGAAGCTCACGGACAAAATTGGTATTTCTCGGACCTTGCAAAGTACAGTTAGGTTCTAGAAGATAGTTCTGTCTGGTAGAGTCAGTTCTACTAGATAAGATGCATTACCATTCCATAGCCTTTGTACACATCTCTTAGAACATGATGGCAGAAGTTGACGATTACCGAGCGCGTGGACCAGGACAGATACCCTTCCGGGCACTGTGTGCATGGATTCTATATCTATACCTCCACAGGTCTCAGCAGTGGAAAGCTGTTGTGGAGAAGGTCTGTTGAGCAACTTGTACCCAACTGATGGAAGCTGTGTGTGATCAGTATTAATACAGCCAAATTCCTCCTTCTGCTGTAACACCCTCTGGAGGCCACTTCAGGAGCTGAAGGCAAACATTGGGCACACACAGACAGGCACATAACCAGTCCCATTCAAGATTTTGGGGTTCTCCTTCCATATACAGAGTACTCTGGAAAATGGTGGTTCTGGTACCCCATGAAGGTTGGATAATATGGACTTTGGTACCATCTCAGGGTCTGGGGACAGTCAGAGTCAGATGCATAAGAATTTAGTTCATTGTCAGTTAACACCCTGTGGTTTTGTTATCTTCACATGTAAATATAAATAGTTTGAAGGTCTTAAGGTTGTTTCTTAAGACAAATGAATGCATGAAAATGCACTTGGCATACCTGGGGTGCACTTGGCATACCAGGATGAACTTGGCACACCTGGGGTATACTTGGCATACCAGAATGAACTTGGCACACCTGAGGTGCACTTGACACACCTGGGGTGCACTTGACATACCTGGGGTGCACTTGACACACCTGGGGTGCACTTGACACACCTGGGGTGCACTTGGAATACCTGGGGTGCACTTGGCACACCTGGGGTGCACTTGGCATACCTGGGGGTGCATTTGGCACACCTGGGGGTGCACTTGGCATACCTGGGGTACACTTGGCACACCTGGGGTACACTTGGCACACCTGGGGTGCACTTGGCACACCTGGGGTGCACTTGGTATATCTGGTAGTGACTAGCTTACTTGGGAGTGGTTGGCATAAAGTGAATGGACACCCTACAGTGTGGCCTCTCTTCCCACCACTTTCCTCTGGTTGCTCTTGGACTTTTGCTGTAAGCATGGTGATGTGAGAGAACAGGATGGGTGTGGTAACACAACCTATCATTCCAACACCTAGCACACAGAAGCAGGAGGATCACTGCAAAACAGAAGCCAACTTGAGTTACAGACTCAATGAATTCCAGATCAGCTAGACTATATATTGAGACCCTGTCTCAAGCACCAACGATCAAAGAAGTGAAAAGCAGAGAAATTCATAACACATTGTAAAGTGTAAGAATGTGTGTGTGTGCGTGTATACATACATACACATATATGTGTAAGTTATGTATAAAAGATTCCAGAAGGAGACAAAGTGGTGATTATTCCAGAATGCAGACTTACCAGCTGGGGCTACTTAGACTTTGTTCTTTATCTTCTCATGTGTTGCCTGTGTTTTTACAAGAACAACATGCCTTTGTAAGAAAGGCCTTTATTTCATTTTAATTTAATCAAATGGACGCTTCATTGGAATGTGTGACTGTTTCTTTTATGATCTTCAGATAGTGCCTTTTCCATTGTCCTCCCAACTCAGCCTGGGAACACAGTCGAGTAAGTGGAGCACTGCCCAGCCAATTGCTAGCACTGGGCTCGGATCCTGTTGCTCCCTGTTGTGAGAGCTTAGGACATTGATTTTGTTGGGGAGGTCCAAGTAAGCCAGCACATACAGTCCAAGCACAGAGGAGCACTCGAGGGAGTCTTTCTTGATACATCTCATTAGCTCTGTCTCTGAGGGCATCATCTCCATCTTCCTGGGCAGGAGCGATCCGTGGCACTGCCTTCCTTTCTAGATAGAGAGCCCGAGGATGTCTTTCTCCTCTGTCACAGCACAGTGTGCACTCTGAATGACAGAGGATTCTAATATGGTTTTAGATGTGGATCCTGGAGAGGTGCTGAGGGCTGTGTGGACAACACCCTTGTCTTCTGGCAACTTCTACCAGGAATATCTCCAGGATAGCCAGCATGGCCTGAGAGTCGGCATGGCTTGGCTTTTGTTAGCCTCCTCCATGTGGAATGACCTTTATGTCTAAAGTCATGTTTTAGATGCAAAGGCAATGTCTGGGAGGTCCCTGCTTGGAGTCTTTGTTTCCCTGCTAAGCGTGTGGGTCATCGGCCGTCTGTGGCAGGATGCTATAGGGATTGTGTCTAGTCTCTTTGAGGATTTTTCAACCCCTCCTCCAATTCTTAGGGCAGTTCTAAGACAGCATCCCCATGTGCTTCTCCAAACTGTGAGCCCAGATTGTGATGGTTGCCACTGGCCGTCAGATCTACGGGTGCTGGGATCACATTGGAGTTGAAGTTCTGGGTGTGTCTGTGAGGGGTTTCTAGATTGGCTTACTAGAGGTGGGAAGACCTGCCCTGCTATCGCGTACACATGCCCTGTGCCGGGTCCTTGAAGTATATAACATGGGAAGAACAAGCTGGGCATCAGTGTTCATCAGCCTCTGC